ATATTTCGGCTTTTGTTTCGCCCAACAAAAAATTTTTTACTAGAGGGTGAGAGCCTGGAATTTTGAACTTTAAAAGCCGTTTCTTTAGAAGTACTATGGAAAATAACTTCCTGAAAATCAACTGGTTGTCGGAAGGATTTTTTGTTTCCCCTTATCTGTTTGGTTTGGTTGGAAAGAGTACAAATTTTACTGGAGCTTTTATGCTTGTGAGGATTCTGAGGCCGAAAAATTGCTTTGGCTTGGGGTAGGATGATTTTCAGAAGCTCAAATTTTTACAGGAAGGAATGTACTGAGGTTTATGTAAGGGCAATTGCATAAATGTATAATTTTTCATAGTTTTTACACGGTAAAAGCACTGTAGAAAGCATTGCCACCCTCTTCTAGAAATAATGAATTCTTATGAGAAATAGTGGTGCTAGGCACTATTCGCGAATTATTTCACTCTTTCTGACTGTGACTCGATGTATCGCCACTTCATTCATCAGCGATTCCTTTAGGCGTTGCAGCCAGAAGCACCTGCAATGAGAGAAACACTTTTGGCAGTTCCTTTCAAGAATCCGTGGTAGAAGGCGATCTTTTCAAATGATATAAAATTTGCGGATGGTAGCTGCTGCTAATATAGATAGATGAATTCGTCCTTCTTGTTTTCTTCCACAGGCGAATTTTAGCCCTTATTTTTGTAATATTAACTATGGATCAGTAGGACTGTTCGCTTGCGCTACCAAACATTTGCGGTGCGATTTTTGACCTCGCTGATGCCTCGCTCCGTGAAGAACCCGATTTCACAGGTGCAAAAATCATATTAATACAGAATTATCACAAGCTGCCTTACATCTGTTAGCACTTCGAACAGTAGTAGTTTGAGAGATCAGCACAACCAGTAATTACTGCTTTGGCCAGCAAAATTATTCTGGAAGGAAGTTACCGAATTCAGGTTTCCGGGTGAGATAAGAATTCTTATACTCACTGAGACTGCGAACTCTAAAATGAAATTTCCCCTACAAAAACAAATGTTGCGCCAGAGTTCATCTCAAAAAGCGCGCATTTTGACTAAATTAACGGAAGAAATCGATAATTTACTTCCTCAGGCCAAAAGGTGAAAGTGCAATATACAGCAAAATCTTGTAAAAATCAGTTGAGCACTACGAGAACTACAAAAAAAAATTTAACGCGCACACATCCTTTTGAGTGGAAGTTTACCGCAGCATCCAGAAATGCTGCATAAGCAGCAGCCCAGTAAACTTGCTGAAGCAAAAACACGCACATAGCTACAAAAAAAAAATTCTTATTTACCAGTATTAACATAGCAACAAATGTATCGAATGCACAAAACATCGCACAGCCTTACGTTGTTCAAGCATCTCTGCTGGTGCGTTGGAAAGTCGGCTTTTGCGGATTTGGTCTTCCACTGGAACAACCAGGCAGTGCGTGGGTGAGTCTGAATCTTTAATACAACATACATAGCGCTTTCGAAGCGCAAATCTAAAAGATTAAGTAGCTAGCGAACAGTACTACAGATGACTACGAGCTGAAATGCAGAATTAGTATCCGGAATTAGTCTTTTTCTCTGATTTTGACAGATTTGTAATTCTAGTTATTAACAACATTTTGGTCAGAAGTCGAACTAGGCTTCCTAGCCGGAATGATACTCTAAGAAAATAGTGTGGACATTTTCAAAATTGCTAGGCACAATCTGTTTTTTTTTTTTTTTTGATTGGCTAGAAATTAGTCATTTTTTTGCTCGAAGCATAAAAAAAAGGCTGACAAACTACAGATTAATGGAAACAAAAATGGCAGATTGCAATGGCTTACATTACAGTACCAGAAAGAAATTCAGGGACTAAGACGCGAAAAGTACAAGAACTGTAATGAAAATGTTTAAGCTGTAAGAGAAAATATGTTGCCACATAAATTTGCCCACTATGCTGAAAGGTAAGCAAGTTACGTGGAGATGTGTCCGACGGTTTGCAAGCCTTTTTACACATTTGGGGGAACATATCTCCGTGGAAAATTAAAAAAATGAATGCTTTTGAAGAGTGCGTTGATCGCCATGGTGTCTTTATGAGGGAACAAGGAACTGCGACTTCACAAAACTACTAAATAAGTTTGGTTTGGCCGGAGCATGAAGTTAGAAGAGAGCGAGCTTAACAAATGCGATCGCAGTGGGCATACCAATTGTTCATGGCAACAAATCAAATATGATTAACGCAGATACTCAAGTACACACACATACAAACATAAGTACATACACACATACATGCATACATACATACACATACATACATACATGCAAACATTACATACATACATACATACATACATACATACATACATACATACATACATACATATACATGCATACATACACACATATATACTCATATTGACATAATCGAATCGAAAATGTACTGCAATACTGCAAAAAGTTTCAAAATGCACCAGTGAAGGAAAGAGTCAAAAGGATGCACTGATTTCAGATACAGGATAATTTATGAATTAACTAACATGCACTACAACCGACAAATCACTACACGGGAAAAGGGCGAGGGCGAAAGCAGGCAAACTGAGTGAATCACTTGCGCAGGCCTAAGATAAATTAATCAGTGATTCCTACTTTATACAGTACTGATCCAGGAGAAGTTATAATCCATGAAGACTAGTCCATGAAGACTGCAGAATTTTTGAGGGGTAAGCTTCTGACTCATTTTTGTGTTTTTTTTTTTCAAATCAGAAATCAAGTCCACTGGATAAGTCCATTGATTAATTAACTAATAATTTTACTCGTTCTGCACCTCTGTGTATCCCGTTTCGCCGATCCTGAGATGTCGAATGTAAATGCCCAGTAGGTAAAAATTATTAAAAATTATTTGGAAAGACACATTAATTTATAATTTGACTGACACTTTAAAAAAAAGTCAGAGACAGAGAACAAAAATAAGTGATCAGAAGTGTTCCTCTCAAAATGGCTCTGGATAACGAATTTTTGCCAGTATCCTGTTCACCGTGAATAAGTTGTGTGTGTCCACGAGAAGAACGTACTGATGAAATAATATTTCATTGTAAGTATCCGTCGGCAGATGAGTGAAATGGAATGATTTCAGTGATTGTTCTTATGAACCTTCGATTCTCCAGGGAGTTTTGTTTGATGTACATAGCTGTCTAAGAATGCGCTCCCTACACTACGGTCTTCAAGATGGCAGAAAATGTCGGGTAGTGCATCCAGGAATTCGTCTTGGGAAGACAGCGGCTAACAAAAAAAGAAATATTTGGTTCTTTGAAAGCATCACTTCATCTGGAAAAAAAGTTCAAAAAATGCTTTTCGAAAGCAGTGACTTTGATAAGATGGTCCGGGTGGGCACTATCCCTGCCATTATCCAGATGGATCGCCGCTGCCATCTTAGGGTTGCGCTGGTTATGGAAGCAGCAGTAGTGCTGATGTGAGCAATTGCAGGATGATGTGAATGAGGTATATGGATGGAACAGAGGAAGAATTCGACGAACTAATTTCTGCAACAGCGCCACCAGCGCCGCTCTGTTCGTTTACCGCTTCAGCAATCATTGTACCATCGCCGGCCACTTCGCCACCGACAACTGCTCCATGATGCTCCACTGCTGAAGCCAATCCTGGTTCAGCCAGTTTTTCCGGCTGCGGTATGTTGCAGTCGAAATCGCAAGCATGCAGTTTGTCCGCATGCAGACCCTGCAAAATAACCACACATCGAAGCGACTCGCTGTGCTTGTGCAGTTTCGCTGTTATGATCGAAAAAAAATCAGTAGGTATGATCAACAGCTGCACGTACAATGATGTCGGCGTTTCACGCTTGCTAAGCACCCAACTCATTTGGCAAAAATTTTGCATGGAAAGAACCTCTCTTTGAAGATTTCTGGAAATGTCATGTTTTAATGCGTTTTTGCACATACGTAAATTGCAAAAACGCATATCGGGAAGAGGCTGTCTGTGTGTTTGTATGTTTGCACTTTTTTTCACCCACTTTCAACTCGAGAACCAGAAAAGATAGAAGGCTGAAACTTAGGGAGTATGTGCCCATGCCATGCGCGACCCTCCCGTTTTAATATCATCGCTCGCCTATGCATAAGTGTCGTTTATTGACGTCTTAAAAAATATACAAATTTCTTGGCGGGAAGGCGACCTCGGGAGCCAGACAAGGTAAGGGGCTGAAACTTTGCAGGGATATTCCTTGTGCATGTGTGAGCTAAAGATTTCAAATTCAGCCTCCAATTATGCGCGGTGCTCACGTAAGGGCATGTGAAGGTTCTGGCGGGAAAATTACTAACTCGAGAACCAGAAAAACTAGAAAGTTGAGATTCTGGAGGGATGTCCCCTGTTCAAGTACAACTTAAATATTCCAAATTCAACCTTCAGGTATGCGTGGTTCTCATGTATAGGCACCTAAAAGTTTTGGCAGGAAAACTGATCACTAAACAGTTAGGTTACTTTCAAAGAATGACCGCTGAATGGAATTTGTTTATTTACTTCATGCAAAATTTGTGGTGATTTACGCTAGTGAGCGCAAAAAGTAGGTGAAAAGCAATAACCATTCATGCAGTTAATGTCCTGAATAATTCAAGTCCGTGCAAAAAAACATCGCACCGGCAAGCTTGGTGCATTTCTACCTGGGTATTTTTGTGAAAACGGGGAAGGAATAGAGCAATTTTCATGTCGGATTATCTTCATTTTATTCACTGGGCACCACACCATTCACGAGAAGATGGACGCTTCTTCGAATGAATCTGTTGCTAGCGAAGATTTCGAAATTTTGCTAACCTTGAACATATTTCTCAAACTTTTGCACATGATCATTTGCGCGCTTTCCGACTGACAGATCCCTTTCATAGCGTTTATATATTCTTGTAATTTAGCGTTAACCTCATCACAAACCTAAAATTAAACAAAAGTATACTGATGGCAAATCGCATCCCTACTCATCCAAGTAAATGCGGCTTTTGTTGCAGAACTCCCTCTCTTTTTTCTGGGCAAGTAAACCTGAAGGAAGACCAAATTCATCTTTACATCAGTGCTTCCCACCCACCACGTCTCCAGCGCATCTTCACTGTTAGCTGATCAAGTAACATTTCAGAACAATAAGCTGTACTGTGAGAACAACAAACTTTGGTTTTTTTTTGCAGCCACTGCCTGTGTTGCTGATGCTGTAAAAACTGCTTACTTGGTCGTCTGGGTGCTCCAAAAATTTCTCGGACAAGTATGTCCCCGCACTAAGTGTCATCTCGCCAATGCGCTCTTCTGTTAAGCATTCGCGGTGCTCCTTCAGTATTTCTTGCCCTTCCTGCAAAAGCATTTCGATTTTAATACAGAACTCGACAGATCGAACCTGGCTGGACTTTTCCAAAGTCCAACCAAGTTCTATCTGCAACTCGAGTCACCATTTTGGATATGTAAAAAGACTGAAAAATAATTCTATTTTCAGTGTGCAAGCGCAGAAACTAATGCCATTGCAAAATCAGGCTGTTTCTGTTCAATCTTCCGCTTGTCTTAGTGTTACCGCCGCTGCAATTTCAAATTTATCGAAACGAAAATAAGAAGAAACGCTGCTTGCCCCCCCCCCCCCCCCCCCCCCCCCCCCC